TTTTTTTTTTTGGTTTTTTTTTGTTTTTTTTTTGTTTTTTTTTTGCCTGATACAGAGCATACGGAGTAATGGTGACAACAGCCAACCTGCTTCTCTCACCAGCTCATTGTTCCTCCCATGATTCCTAAGAAGGAAAACTGAGCAGCCACCGTGGAAGGGCACAAGTGCCAGGCTGACATCTCACCCACTCCCAGTGAATTCAGGACGGATGGATCGAGAACTTTGGATTCTCTCAAAGCTGCCTGGGCTCTTGAGAAATGCTGATAGTGTCATCGTAGGAGAAATTTTATTGGAGCAAATCTGCTTTGCTCTTCACTCTCAGAAAGTCTTGTTCCTAGTTTCTCTATTTTAGAGATGACAGAATCTCACCAACAGACCAACAGAAATCTTACCGTATAATGCACTGAGAACCTTGCCCAAGATACTGGGTGATCCAAGGACTTTACTAATACCCAAAAAATATTCTTTGTTTGGGATCCACAGGGCTTCAGGGAAATCTTCATCTTGTGATGGATAATACAAGCGCAAGAAGGTGCTCTATGGATGAAAAAAATGAATGTGTTTTTAATCTAGTTTCTTCTCAAACATACTCCCACAGATGTTTTGCATATTTTATTAGTAGGGTTCAAATACCTCTACCATTCATAAAGAGGTTCAGAGACTTTTTAAGTTGCTGTGATGATTGACTGTAGTCATAAAGAAGAAAAAAATAGTCTTTGAGTGTTAAGGAATACAGAACAATTAAAAGAAAGACAGGATAATTACAAGAGGTTACAGACCAATCAGACGATAGCAAAGAATCAGGGAAATGGAACAACAGAAATGGCAAAGTGAGTCATTCGTAGGTGAGAGTGAGGTCCAATTTCAACAGCAGAGGAAGTCAGTATTAGGGTATAAATGAACCAGTCAAGGCATTACCTGGTTAGTGTAACCAGACATCAGGTCTGTACAACCCACGGAGTAAGGCCCACTTCCCTTGGGGATTACTGTGTGGTGAAAGCTCTCAGTAGGCAGCAGCGATTGTATTCCTGGGATCCATGCTGAAAAACAGGTCAATATTGCCTCATGTGGCAGCCTGTACACCCAAATCATTCTGCAAGGACTTCTAAGGGAATCAAGCCATGGCCCACAGTTTCTGGCCTCTTGCATTTTTGATGTAGGTGAGGATTTGCTGTGTGCAATGCACTGGATAGGTGTTTGGAGCATAAAAAGATCCAGGTAGACACAGTCCGTCTCCCAGGATGCCTTGCAACACCACCTCCTCACCCTGACAGCCTCGCCTCTCCTTTCAATCTGTCTGGAGTACACTAATGGTGACTCTCCACGTTTTTTTTTTCTAAACATGAACTTTATCTCCCATTTCAGATTTGTACTTACAGCTTCTCACCAGGCATTTCCACCCAATGCCTTTCCCATAGCAGCCTCAAAGCCAGTGGTCCAAACTGAGACTAAAGTTCGTCTCACCTTCCCCTCCTCTACCTCCAACCACACAGCCCACAACTCCAGAATTCTGTCTTACGCCTCTCAGGCTGGAAGCTTGGGAGTCATCCTACTTTCCTCCCTCTTTTTCATCAACCTTTTTTGCCCAGCCAAATTTCAATGCCTAACAATTGTTCGTAACTTTGAACTATCTTCCCAGTGCGTCTCTGACTCTTACTTCCTCTGACTCATTTGTGTTCTCTGTGTCTCTTGACCAGGCAGCTGCGGTCTCTTCTACTGTCCTGTGCACTCACACCTGGCCCCTTCAAATGCCTCCCATACCCAGCTCCTGGAGGGACTTAGTGCACAAACCTCATCAATTCTTAAAACTCTCCAATGGCTCCCGATCACCACATTTGCTTCTAAGATGGGAATAATGGGGCGCTCTTAGAAGGGAGTTCATAGGAGGCATTAAGTCTACACATGCCCTCTCAGCAAATGTGCTAGAAGTCCAGGCACAAACTGACTCCTCCTTGTGGGGTTTAGGATTGAAACACAGGGCTGCTTATAGATGCCCAAACCAAGGCCCAAGTCTGTGGAGAAGGACATTCTTTGATTAGAAAGCACTGAGGACACACAATGATTTGTTTATTGTTGCAAAAATGAACTGAAACCTTTCACCTGAAAATAAGAGTGTATTTGAATTGCAGGAGATCCCTATTTTTTAGTCTTGCTATGCGTTGTAAAAATTAATGGGATGGACTGTGATTGTAGTAGATTGATAACTAGTGGTCAACTTATAACCCCCAGCTGAACTGAGTAAGTGTGGTGTTGGGTGTGAGAGGCCCACCTGGAGATTGTTGCCAGCAGCATAAGAGGCAGAATTGGAGAAGGATTATCCTTTAGTTACTAAAACGTTTGGTATCCACCAATTTGTACTAGCTATGCCCTTGGTTCTCGCTCAATAAAAGGTGACTGAGGTTGGTAATCGGGACTGCAGTCTGACAGGCTGTAAGCCCCCTCATTGCAGACTTCTGCCCCTCTTGTTTTTCTTGTCTCTCTTACTTTTTCTATTCATCCTCAGGCACCTCATTCTTGGGACCTGTCACCCTGGATAGAATGACACGAGTCCTTGTGCCGGAAGACAGACCTTGAGTGTGCTGATGCCCACAGCCCAGATTTCTTCTGCCACCTCTCTGCCTGCATCCAAGAAGGTCTACTCGATACTCAGCGGGGCCCACAGCCATCCTCACTGGCCCAGCAGAGCTTGGAAATGCAGCTCTAGGCCCCTCCCCAGCTACAGAACCAGAGAAGGGCTAGGAAAGTCTCTTTTAGGTTTAAGTATCACTTTGCTCAGGCACCAGGCCATATGGCTGCTACAGCAGACGGCAGTTCAGTCAGTAACAGGGTGGTTCTGAGGAGGCAGGGGCTGAGCCACAGGCTCTGACCTGGGAGGAAAGCACTGAGTCAGCCTGCCTGACAGCTATAAGCGTGAAGTGACATGAGGGTGAACACCAGCACAGGACATGACATGCAAGAGGCAGCCAGCTGGCATCCTTGTCCCCTTCCCCAGAGTTAGTTCCTTGGAGAGCCAAACCTATATGCAGCACTTGGAGTTCAGAGATGGAAGCACATCTAAACAGGAGAATCAATTTCCCTGTAGAGCAAGTTAAAATTCATGGCATTTCCTCAGGGATTTGGTTTCCTACCTTTTCTGGCAGGTGAACAGTTCAGGGATATTTAGGATTACAAAGGCTCCTCCTCTCCACAGAGACTATGGAGCCATGTTCATGGCACAGCAGGGACAGATCATGTCCACAGGATAGCAGGGTGGTGACAGCTGCCTTTACCTCTGCCATGAGGCCCTCTGAGGTGCTGAGCCCACCCACAGGCAGCTGAGCCATGGCTGGACCAAGGGGGAGGGTCTGCAGGCTCTTAGGGTTCAGTTCGGATCCTAGACAGCCCACAGTGGCCCTGGACACATTCCTTCTAGAACTGGCTCAAGAGCCACAGAAAAGCACCACTCTACAAAAGTGGACCTTTCCCCTGATCAGACTTCAGTTCCGCCAAGGCCCTGGGACTCTTTCCAGTAACCTGAGGATGTCCTCTGAGTTCCCCAGATCTGCAGTCCCTGAGATGCTCTCCCACCCAGAACTCAAGTCAAGGTGACTTCAGGACATTTGGCCCCTGAGAAAGCCTCAGGAAGTGAGAGGCCGACCCAGGTTTCAGGAGCAGTCTACAAGGGGTTCCTGTGGCTCTCTAGGGTCAGAGGGTCTACAGAGAAGTCTCAGCAACCTGCAGTCGTCAATCCTGGGCCCCAATTCCTGCTTCCACCTATCATCCATCAGGCACCATCTTGAAGAGGAGCTTTGGAACCTACGCTGTGCTGTTGATTATATTATTGATTTTTGGTGATGTTCATTTGTCCAATATTCCTGCAACTTGGTCTTCAGAGGAGTTACTCACACATTAGGAAAATTATGCTCTCTTATATGGCTTTATGCCCTCCATTAGCACCCAACATCTCTCTTTTCATAAACACTACATTCATAACCCTTTCATCTCCACTGCTATTTTTTCTAGGTATTCAGTTAATAAGAATGTATAAAGAATCAGCTATTGTTTGAATCTTTTATTTGATAAACTCTTATAATAATTTAAAACACGTGTGTATTCCTTTTGAGCATTTAGGAAGAGGAGGGCATTGAGCTGAAACGACACAGATCAATAAATCAACGCTCCTGTCCTCAAGTTTCTGCCAGCCCGGTGATTTTTAAACATGAAGGGATAGGAAACATGTCTTGACTTTCACACCCTGAGCCAATAAAAAGTGCATGGTACAAATGTCCCCTAGCTGATAGTTTACCTATCACTGTGTAAAATGTTACATGTCTTCAACCCATGGCTCCCATGAATCTAACTTTACCAGGCTCCATACTCCTGCGCTACAGGTCTTGGTCATGGTCACCTGCATATTCCTTATGCCCAAATCTGTCGGTAAAAGCTGAGGAATGAACAGACCTTGCAGATGTTGATGTACACAAAAAATATGGCCCCTCTCCTACTTGGCATTTGTTTCCTTGGTTATGAAGCAGGGCAAAATTTATCTTGATGGCACCATGTTAGGTAAGAATGCTGTGAAAAGTTGTCATCTGTCAAGCCTGAACAACCAGATCTGGTGACTAGGTCAAGGCACATGCACAGACCTGTGGCTGTGACAGTGCAACACCTTCACAATCCAGCTTCCCTGCTCTCCAAAGGAGCCTGGCAGAGGACCACACTCACTACACCTGGCATGGGCAGGACATCACAAAGCTACAGTGCAAGCTCTTTGCAGTAGGATCTTTTGGTGACACAGAGGTGACTAGAGGTGTCCTACTCTGGCTACTCCTGTTGGCTTGTTGAAGCCCCCTCTCTTTCTCCTAACCTTACCCCAAGGTAAGAGAGCAAGTAACAATGTCTATTCTGGGGCCCACTTGTCCCTACTTCTTAGGCAGAACAGGTCATATCTTTCTGGATCCCATCTGTCATCTATTCCTACTGCCCTCCACTAAGATCCAGTAGTACGTCTGTGTTTTGAGACCCTTGCCTCTTGCCTCACCCTGGTTCTGTCTGTGGTAGAACACAGCTATAAAGAGGACCAAGTGGGCCCCTCTCCCAACTTCAGGAGAACTGAGGGTCTCACCACCATTTCTTAATAGGACTTGTTTAGAGAAGCCCAAACATGCAGCATTGCTGAGGTTGCCTGGGGTTGGTGACAGTTCAAACCCCAGAATTAAGTGTTTCTTACCTGATTGGGTATGAGTGACAGGAGTTACGGCTTGCCTTTCAAGAGGGTGGACCAGTACCAGACAGCTGGAGAGGCAGAAGAGCATGTGCAGTTTTGGTGGGGCCATCCTGGGTTCAGCTGAAGCTTCTGCACAAGTGATAAAGAGAACATGTAGAGAGGATTTAAATATGCTGAGAAAGCAGGAGACAGTGGGGCAATGGGGAAAACAAAATGTGCACTTTCTGAGCTGGGCTTAGGTAGGGACTAGGGTGGCAAAGCCTTTGATACTACTGGATTACAGGGCACAGAGGTTATACTTACCAGCAGTTATATTAGGTTTTTCATCACTAGTTCTCTAACAGCTAGCAGTGTATTTTACTTATAAAGCGTAGCATCAAAATGTAATGACTTAAGTGAGATCCAAAAGGTACAGTAGATTTTATCTTATTTTATTTTATTTTTTAGGTACAGTAGATATTGTGAAAGGGAAAGAAACTGCTCAAAAGGAAAGAGTAACTGGGATGGGGGAAAGGAGACATGAAGGAAGAGAAAATGTAAAATATATATATATATATACACACAAGATAACTAAGATACTTGTACTACTAATTCCTATTAGTTCATTGAAAGCAACAGTTAGTGATTATATTGTCTGATCAATTTTACATTCCTATATCTTGTAATCTGAGCAACTACTTTGAAGATAACAATATGCAATATAGTAACCACTGTTAATTTCCTATCATTTTGTTTTGAAATTCTGTATCATTTTTTCTCTCTTTAAAATACAAAAAAAAAAATAATAACTGTACCAACCACATTCTACTCTTTACATCATATCTACTGATGCCTCTCTGTGCAGCACATGGTAAACGCAGCTTCGGGCCTATGCTTCTGCCCTAATTATACACTGATACAGTGATTATAATGCTGCTGCATTATAATTATAATTTGTTACATGTATTTGGTATGACTATTCATTTAGGCAATCTCAATTATCCTACTCCATTGTTAGCTTCCAAAAGGCAGACGTGAGGTTGTTCTTGCTCCTAGCACTTAAGAGAGGTCCCAACAGGCAGCTGGTATTGAATAAATATTTCCCATGGCAGTTAGGCTGCGAGCAATATCTTATTAGCAAAAGATCTCTTGCACTTGAGCATGACTTTTCTGCTTTAAAATATGCCCCTTTGATTTTGGGGGGGGGTGATGGAAATGATCTGAATTTTGGCAATAACTCTAAGTGGTCTCCCCGATCTCTCCCAGGCATTGTGGCCACTGTGGTTGTATCATTCTTCTGTCAGGCCTTGCAAGGCTCCAGCAGTCACAGAGCAAAGTAGCAGAGAAGGCTGTTATCAGTCTGTGCACCGCAGACACTGAGGGATGTCTATGCCCCGTGTATCCTGTCTCAACAATCCTGGCCCTCTTACCGGTCACAGACACACCAGGCATCCTCTGGCCCTGTTCCCTCTCACAGAAGGCTCTTTGCCTAAACAAACACATCTTCTCTTTGCTGCTTGATATCAGTTCTTGGTCCCCCTTTACTTTGTCAAAGGTGGAACAGCTGGGTAAATTTAGTTGGTTTTGCAAAGGTCCCCATATTCCCCTAGATACCAAAATAAGCCTTTCCGCCACATCCTAGTCACACTCAAACACTTCATAGTCACTGCCCTTCTTGTCCTCCACAGGTTAGCAGTGCCCTGCACACGTACACTACCACCAAAGCCCCACAAATGTCAGACAGTCAGGACACCTCATCAATGGGATTTTATGCAATCAGTAGCATGTCTGTAAAACAATTCTCCACGATTTAGGAAACTGTTTACAATGCACTTTCAACTAAAAACTATTACAAAATTGTCATGTAAAAATTCATACTTAAAAGCCAATTAATATTAGAAGGATAATGGACTCATGGATGTTTTTCCCATTAGGTCTCACATGTTTTATGATAAAAGGTATTGCTTTTCTAGTAAGAAATAGTTTTAAAGTGACATTTAAAAAGAGCTTGTTGATCATGATGAGTATTGTCTAAAATAAAGTAAAATGTCACACAGAGGATTAAGAGAATTCCCATCATTTTAGATAGACATATATGAAATAGAAATGGAAGAGGGGAGAAGAGACAAAATAAATATTTAAACATTTACAAGGTTAATCTTTGGAGATTTTTACATAGTTAGGAACTAAAAGTAATGTGAGCAGTTGACAACTGGTGGTCAACTTGTAACCCCCAGCTGAACTGAACCAGCATGGTGCTGGGTGTGGGAGGCCCACCTGAGGATTATTGCCAGCAGCATAAGAGGCAGAAATGGAGAAGGGGCTGAGAGGCTGTTGGCAGCTGAGAGAAGCTGTAAGGAGCTGTGGTTCTCTTGGAGGAGCTTGTCATGCTGGCTTTCTTGGTGAATTCGGCTGTTCTCATCATCCAAGGAGCTTGGGACCTTGTTGTTGCTGAGAATGGCTTTAGTTCACTTTGGGGGAGCTCTGGTCTTCACTTTGAGCATCACTTCCGATCTCCAGAGGGGAAGATGGTGTACTGCTCAGTCTCCTGGAAAAGCTTGTCACTTTGACTTTCTTGAGGGGAACTTGGCTGTCCTGATCATCGGAGGAGCTCAGGACCTCACTGTTGCTGAGGATAGCTGTGGTACTTTTCAGGGGCGCTCTGCTTCTTATTTTGAGTGTCACTTCCTGGCTCCAGTGTAGATCCCTCAGCCTGCTAGCACGGATCCTTTATCCTACTGGCATAGACATTCTAGATTCCACCACTGACCTTTGGGCCTTCTCAGGGCAGATCTGTGAAACAGGCCTGCATGAGACTTTGTCCTGGGCTCTAGGCCTCCAGCTGGACTCATGGGAGGTATTGTTATGGGCTCTAGGTCTTCAGCTGAACTCATGCAGGACATTACTGTAGGATCCAGGCCTTCAGCTGGATTCTTTGGTCTTTAGTGTTTACACAGATTTCCTGAACTCTCTTGTATATGATTCTTTGGATGACTATTATAAATAACCTTATAAAATATATGTCCTGTATTGTCATTTCTCCTTGCAAAACTCCAAACCAAAACAGGTAATTTTTAATTCTTCTTTCTACTTTGCTCTTTTCCAGTACTTTAAATCCATAGGTAAAGGCTGATATGTTTGTTACGTGGCAAAGGGGACTTAAGATTGCAGATGGAATTAGAGCTGCTAATCAACTGCCTTAAAATGGAGAGATGATCATAGGTCATCCAGTGGCCCAAGGTAGCACAAGGTGGAGGAAGGGGTACCAGCAGCAGAGGTCTGCATGACGTCATGTGACAGACAGCTGTGGCTGGCTTTGGAAATGGAGGAATGTGTAGGAGTCACAGACTGTGGTAACTTCTAGAATCTTGAGAAGGCCAGGCAACTGAGTTTCCCCTCAGGGTCCAAGAAGAACTTACCCTTGCCAACAACGTGTTTATAGCCCACCGAGACTTCTCAGACATCTGACTTAGAGACGATAGGATAAGAAACTATGTTGCTCCAAGCCCTCAAGCTTATGTGAATCATGATAGCAACAATAATAAAACTCATACGGAACATATAGTCTTAGGGAAAGACCTAAGAGCAAGTAATAGGCCAACTTGCTTTTGACTACATTCTAAGACAGTGGTTGATGGATCAATATCTCAAAATTGATCCATTATCAGACTGAATCATTGAGGAAGAAGGTAACATCTCCTGCTTTGGATATTTTACAGTAACATGAAGGTAGGGAAAAACCAGCAGTGCATCATACTGTATTTAGGAACTGCAATGTTGTCCCTCAAAATATTGGGTCATGTCTGGAGATGTCCCCAACCAAGAGCTGTCACAACTGGGAGGGGCTGCTATTGGCTGGGGACAGGTAGAGGCCAAGGATGCTGCTAAATATGCACAGGACACACCTAAAACACCAAATCACCCCCACAACACTAGATCACTCCCACTTGTCTGTGATGCTGAGGTTACGAAGCCCTGGCCTAAGACAGGGCAAAGCAACCATAGCCCTGAAAGAAATATTCACTCCATTCTGAACCATGCAACAAGGAGGCAGATATCAGGGCAACAGGGCAAGAGCATTTCGACAATTAGATCATTTATAATGTCTACCTCACCACTGGTCAACAGAAGGATTTAATGCTATTTATGCATTCCCTTAATGTTATTGCATAAAAAAAGCGAGATTCATAGGTAGGGTTGAACTTTGAGGCCACCATCTTTATCAGAGTTATATGGTTCTTTTCAAAAGCATCAGCAAAAAATTTCCTACTGTACACTTGCTAATATTGAAACTAAGAAAGAAAAGATAATACTGTCTGAACATTGTTTTAATCTGTACCATCTTAGCTGAGGGCATCAAGACCTTAGCCTCAGGTCGTCTCAAATATGCAAGACTCAACTGATTTCTGCAGGAGTGTTCTGGCAGCTCCTGTTTTGGGCACAGTTGACACAACTCTTGTGTAATCATTTCACAGCCTCAGAAAAAAAGGTATGTAGAAAAAGCAAAACACAAAGCAAGTTACCTATTGTGGAATACAATTTCACAATATAGCACGTAAAATAAGGATCACCTGAACACAAGTGCTGAAATGACTACTGATCCTATCACCAAGACGATTTCAAAATATATAATTTCACAATATAATACAACTTACTTAAAAGTAAGTATTTTGAAAATTAGCTACAAGTAAAATAAAAATTAATAGATTCCACCCATATTTTGAAAAAGGAACTCACCCTCACCCCGGGTGCAAACATCCAGATTTTTGCACCCTTGCAGCTAAAGGCAGAGACCGACACATGTCGTCTAAGATTACCAGGTGGTGTTTGCCACCCTGGAGGTTCCATTCCACCCTGCAGCCTGCCCAGACAGGCCCACCCCTTGTGCCACTTGTGCTATGGGGCTTTCTACTGACTTTCCATGAAGAATTGTTTCCCGAAGAAGGATATTAGCTTCTCCTTAAAGGATCAGGGATTCCTGCATTATGAAAAACTAAAGCCACAGCCAACCCCTACCCTGAATGAATGAGACACAGAAGAGGCACAAGAAACACATGTGTGTGCACACACACACACACACAACACACACACACACCATATAGGCAGCATTATGAGTGTGAGCTGTCTCACAATGTTTTTGAGAGTTGTCTGCATACAAGGCTACAGAGTGGGTTTTCTGCTTGAGGACACTTACCCTGTGGCAGAAGAAGCAAGAGGTTTAGAGATGCGGCCACTGCCTCTGGCTGCCAGTGTTTGACTCCTGGATCTGCTATTGCCTGGTTTGATGACCCAGTCTCGCCTCTCTCTCTTCATCTGTCAAAGGTGAGTGAACATGGGCTTGTTACAGGTATATAAGCCCTTTGAGGAGTGGTGTTATCGGTCCTCGGAATCTGTAGCTGCGTCCCAGTGCCATGACCTGTCACGTAGATGAGGGCCTGGGGACGTGATGTGGAAAGGGTAAGGTGGGGAAAACCGAGAATAGTAAAGAAAAGCTTTCTCCACTAGAGGAACTCAGAGTCCACATCTTCCTCTGGGGGCTGTGGAATTAAGCCTGGCTGATGTTCCAGGAAAATACTGATGGAATCTGAAAAGTGATGTGTAGTCCCTTCCTATCCACAAAGGGGATATTTTCCAAAGCCCCAGCTGAAACTGAGCCTGCAGAAGGCTCTGGGTCCCTTGCTCTCCCCCTGTACTTCTCACACAGTGCTGGGTCCACCAGCCCTGCACATTTTATGCCCAGCACCTCCAACACATCATAGCTCTTAGGGCCATCACTGAGTAAAATAAAAATCACCCGAACACAAGTGCTGAAATGACTACTGATCCTATCACCAAGACAGCTGCCAAGTGATCAGTGGGTGAGTAGCATGTACAGCATGGCCATGCTGGGTGAAGACAGGATGGAAAGGGATGGCTTGTGAGTCCATTATGCTACTTGGAATGGTGTGCAATTAAAAATACATGAGTTGTTTATTTTTGGAATTTTCTCTTAATATTTCCTGACTACAGCTAGACCATGGGTGATTTAAGCCACAGATGAAGAGGGGCTACACTTAACAGGGACTGTCAAGGGAAAGCAGCTCTCTGTGTAGGGGGGGCCATCTGTAAACAGCAGCCAAGACCTTAGGGTACAGCTGTGAGCATCATGCAAGAGAGGTTGGACATGACGTACTCACCCTTGGGCCCCCCGAATGTATACACTCCAGACGAATGAGACAAGGAAGAAGAATAAATGGATGTTTGCACAGTGATCTGTAATAATGCCACTTACTCTGTGCCAGCAGCACGCTGAGCATCTTACATACATGAATGCATTTCATCCTCAGAGCTCAGAGTTCAGGGGAGAAAGCAGAAAGAGACAGGTTAAATACGCCCATGGCCACAGGCACAGGAAGTAGCCATTCCAGGATCTGAACATGAGTTCTGACATTAACATAAAGACCCTGACCTCAGTGCTACTGACACTCTGGGTCGAGAGCTCATGGTTGTGTGGCTCCCTGGGCCTTGAGGGGTGTCTAGCAGCATCCCTGGCTGTAGCCACTCAGGCATCCCTGGCTGTAGCCACTCTAGCAGCATCCCTGGCTGTAGCCAGTAGCAGATATTGCCAGGTGTCCTGGGGAAGAAAAGTGACCTTCAGCTGAAAGCCACTAGCTCTGCTGTAAATCCTCAGAACAACCTAACTGAAGGTATGTCAAAATCAGGATGAATTGGCCAAACAAGCAAGTTAAAATAATAATGTAGAGCCACTGTTCGCTGCACAAGAGAACGTAACATTTTAGAGATCGACATGCCTCCTTTCAGCTGCATTCTCACCAGGAAGAGCACATCCTATTGAGCCTATAGGGCTTCCAGGATTTCAACAGATAAAGGTTTCCACACAGGACCTCTGGCCAACAACAGCCAGGAATGTAAGCGATTGCGACAGCGGGTCACAGCAGATGTTGGTGGACCAGAACGACACCTAACAGATAGCATTCTGCACAGAAGGTCTTGGATGTATCTTGTGTGGACCCAGATTATAAAACCCTGCTGACAGGAGCTTTTCTACCATTTGGGTGGTCAGAAGAACAAAGCACAAGTGTAAGGCTGACCTGCAGGATCCTGGACAGTCAGGGATTCCTGCACTGCAGGTCGATGGCTGTGGAAAGGGCAGGCTGGGCTGGACAGCCCTAACCAGAGGTTCTAAAGCCAAGACTTCCATGGCCAGGTACCTCAAAAGAGTCTCATGTGAGGCTTGCTGGGGACTCTGGCCCAGTGGCCACCCAGAAGGGGCAGCTGATGCTCTCTTCCAACTGCTCCAGGCAGGAATGAAGACTCCGTGCTACTAGATCTTCTGGGAGTTTTCAAAGGCTGGAAGCCCTCATTTGTATGTGGTACTCCCTGATCTTTAAAGAAGAGTAACTAAGTCAACCTTTGAAGACATTATATGAGTCAAACAAGGTAGACATAAGCCCCTCGGGAGAAACTATAAGTGCTCCCTTAAAGATGCCCCAGCCAGCCCCAACCCTAAGGAACTGCTGTGGTACAGAGAGCAAAAGTTAGACTTTACAGGTCCCAGAATCACTGTCACATTTGTCAGCACTGACCCCCACAGCTTGTCACTTGAAGTGCAAGTTCAGACGCATTGATCCCATAAATAGCTGATGACATCTGGCCCACGAGCTTAACCCAGAGCCTATTCAGTCATGAGGAGCCGAAACTTCCGCCACACACACATATGGATGAGGAAGGGCTTGTGGCTTCTACACAGAGGCACTGTGCTTTTCTGAGCTGCAGTCAAGGAGAGCCAGGAAGGACATCCAGCGCTGCCTCAAACGGCAGTGAGCTGTCCTGTCATGAGAAAGTTACCCCTGCCCTCGCTGGTAAACAACCTCACAGCTCTTCCCTGACTCCAAGACTTCATCATGACCAAAGAGAGAAAGGTCAAGGGTTTCTCAGAGAGAGAAAATGCTTCCCTAAGGGAAATGGTCCTGTTCAACTCAGGGCCCCAGCCTGTTCTGGAAAATCTCTTTAACCACACATCTCTGCACTAAGGTTACCTGTATCTATGACAAAGTCAAATCTTTCCAAAGAATAAACAGGTTTAGATTCTTTTTTTCCTTGCTTCAGATATTCTACTTTTACCTGAGCACATTCCCCTTTCCAAATTAAAACGGTTATTATTTTAGCATTCATGTCACAGCATTCTACGATAAGGTTTAAGGGTAATTTTTAGTTAACAGTTTCCAATGCACTACATAGAGCAGAATCTCTTTATGTATGATTAAATTAGATGTCTGTAACAGAATACAACAAAAAAGTGATGATTATTAGAACATATTTTAAAAGGAAGCGTAAGCAGCCAGACATGGTGGCACACGCCTGTAATCCCAGCACTCGGGAGGCTGAAACAGGAGGATCGTTGCAAGTTCGAGACCAGCCTGGGTTACCAAGTGATCTCGAGGCTAGCCTGAACTGAACAGCAAGAGCCTGTCTCAAGAAGACAAAAAACCAAGGAAGCATAAGGAATTCAAAGAAACATGGTCTTAGCAACCTATAATAGTAATAAAACCTTGTATTATATTAAGAGCATATTAACTAGCTTATTTGCCTTTATGGAATAAGTGGGCCCCACATAGCACTGTCAGCCCCAGTTTGTCTCTGTCTCTTTGAGACAGAGAATCAGGTAACATTCCACCCTCTCCCCCAGATGCTGCCCTCTAGTGCCACCACCTGCACGAGGTCACCTTCCGCAAACCCGGAACTGGTCTGCTTCCTCCCCTCCCTGCAAATCTGTTCTCCACACTGCACCCAGGGTAATATTTAAACCAAACCTGAATATGCAGTGTCATCCTTCTGTGTAGACTCTCTTTCAACTTCTCACTGATCTAATCATAGAATGAAATGCAGTCTTTGCAGCTTTTTCCCTTGACCCAGACACTGTGCTGCCCAGCCCTGGGGCTACCTGAGCCTATGACGGCTTTATCTGTGCCTCCTGCACTGCTTGTTCCCAGTGCTGTGGGGCCACCACTCAGAGAAGTCTCTCTTTAAAACTGAAGCCCGGATGCTCCCACCTGTACACACATGCATGCACACACGCGCATACACACACACACACACACACACACACACACACACACCAACGGCACTGTGCCTCTACACTTGGCTTTTCTTCCAAGCTCGCCTCATGACCTGAACTCAACTTGCTCACCTCTCAATGCTGGGAAATGGAATTCATGACAGTCGGGAATGTGTCTCTTTCAGCTCAGGGTTCAGTGCCTGGCACACAGTAGCTGCTCAGTAAACACCTTTTGATACTGAGGAATGAATGAACAAAGCAGGAATGGACCAGCCCACCTGATTCTATGAGCAAGCTTACAGCAAATGCTTTCTTCTCCTCAGCTCCTATGTTTATTTTAAAATAATGAGGAACATATATTTATCAGCACACGTGTCTTTCTGAGCTATGAGTCTTTCCTACAACGTGGAGCCAGGCACCTTTGACAGTACATCCCAGGTGCTGACTTCACAGAGAAAGGGGGGGACCTGCTGTCTGTGACCAAAAGCCACACAGCTTCCCAAGACTCCAGAGCACTGCCACTTGAGCGGTCCCATTCTGCGTCACTGTCTGTACCCTCGATACTGTTCCCTTGTGGCATTGCTTGTGTGGCAATGTCTCCTCTAGCGTCAGTCAAGGTCACAATCATGAAACACAAAAATAACCAGGCTTCTGATAAAACAGAGGTGACAAAGAGGAGCCCAGATGTTCAGGGGGTGCTTCTAAGCTCCCTCTGGCCTTCCCAGAGATCAGAGACCTACACGGCCTTTCTGCTCTATGCTGAAGGAATCCCTAAGAGGTTAGTAAACCGTAATTGTCTGCAAAGAGGACTTTGTCACCTTGCATGTCCCCACAGCTAAGCACAGGGATGCAGAGTTGCAAGGAGCTGCTCCCAGGCCTGGGTGTCCTATTGGAAAGTGCCAGGTGCTAGGCAAGCCCTGCGCCCCGGCTGCTGCAGCTTCCACAGAGCCTGCTGCACGGGTGCAGAATGCTAAGGTGGCCGTAGCCTCACCGCCTTCTGCAGGGCTCCCAAAAGCTTCTCCACAAGGACACCTGCTGGTGCAGGGGGCATCTCCCCCTCAGGGATCAGGCCAGTACTGAGATGGGGGTGAACCCAAGATTTGGCCCCAGCTTCTGGGACTGCAGCTGCCATTCCCTGCTGTGGCTCACGGACAGTCTCGTAGTTTAGCGTTCCCATTTGGGTCCAAAGGAATCTGGGCCACACTGGCGTGGTAGCACGTCCCTCCCTGAGTCCTGTGCCCTGGCAGGAGGTGCACTCCCGCTTACCACCACACAACCTCTCTTCCTTCCTGGCACCTCTGTGGGCCCAAGGAAACCAGGAGGCCCGGAGGGAGCAACTATTTTGCTTCCTGCTTTGCTGGATGTTTGAAAACAGGA